ACAACTCTATTATTATGACCTTTGTGTTTGTCGCTTTTCTTCATATTTGCCGATTGGACTATTATCTGACCCATAAATTATTTTCTTCCTTACTCCTTGATTAATACGTAACCTCATTTGTTCGTGGTATTCATATGTTGACTTCAAAATTTACCAATATAGTCAGTACACAGTGGCACTGAATTACCTATAAATTCAATTTCAGAATTTAGATTTTAATATGGATGTTGATTGATGTCGCATTTTAATCGTGATTAAAATGAGTGTTAGATCGTTTATTTTCTTGTTGAGCATAGCACATTCAGTAAAATTAACATATTGAGACAAGCTGCAGAAGTTTAGTTCACACGATGATTTCAAACACACGAATTCCGTCATACCGAATATTCCCTTAAATGCGAATCACGATCAAGGTGTTTGTTATGACCTTGATGTCTGGCTTTCTGTCACGCGACTTATCGACCAGTCAGAATACGACTTATACAATTTCGCACTATGCCAAACCAATGAGGTTCAACCGGTATGAGCAGTTTAGCGTCCTGATTGGTCCTATGTCCTCCTAACCCTTCCCTTGAGTCCAGAACACAATACCAGTTTCTGTAATATGAATCGAATCGAATCGAATCGTTTATTTCAGACATACTCGGTTTATATATCAATCAGACAGACCACAACGTGCCATAAAATAGAAAATAACATGTATACACAATTAAGCCCAAAAGTGGCTGTGAACGAGGGGGACAGTAATTAATAGACTGAGCATAGCTTAAGAATCGTAAATCGTACAATAATAAAATATAGGTCAAAATAAAGCTTATAATAAGAGGAATATAAATATACATAATCTAATTATTAAATAGTTTTACAATAAGAATATTTATAGAATATTAGTCCATTAATAGGCCTCGGGAGTTACTTGTAATTTAATCTTCACCGGGATATAACAGTGTTAGATGTCTCCAGGTGAGATGTTCTATGAAGAGTCACCATTACTTCAAATGAGTTACAAATGTTTAGCATTAAGAAAAGTAAGCAAATAATGGTTGCTATACTAAAAAGGCTTATGTACTGACGAAATGACTTAAAATTCTATTATTATCTGTTGTGGAGATCCAGAAAACTTCTCAAAATTAAGCCAAGAAAGGCTCTAAAAACACTGAGCAGTATCATATCCAATCAGCGTTCACTAGACGTTTTGCCAGAAACATCTAGAACGTGAGACGTCACATGTCGAGTTTCTGATTGGACGATTACTCATACTGCTACTATGTTCAGTAGCATTCCAGAATTTTCCGGAAACCCAAGGATATCTTGTGGAGATAGGTCTGAGAAGCTTATTTTGTAAATAGTTTTTAATATTATTTGTATTTGTCAATTTCTCACCGCATGTACATTTATCATTAAATGATTGTACCTGTTGTTTTAGTAAATGACCTTGAACACTTTTTCCGTTGTGACTCTAACATAGCGTGACATACCGTTGCTGGCTAACAAATACACTGCTTCTCTCACATTCCTCGTTCTATTTTCATTCGAGATTGAGTTAACTGAGATCTAAAACAAATATTATTTACATTCATAGATTGTGAGAGCGAATACACCATACCTTACTTTGGATTGCACCACTGGGGAGTTCATCGATACGTTTGGAATTACCAAGCATCTATAATTGTGGATTTATTGTACCAGATTAAAGCCGAACACGCATCATTTTGAGTGAACTTAAGTAAAGTCCCATTTTTATTGTATTTGTAACATTTAACTGATATATATTAATATTACTATTGCTTTTTATTAACTTTGTTGATACTTTTTGCGTTTATATATCGTCTGGTCCACCACAATCTAAAATATTGTAAAAACACTGGATCTTCTGTACATGAACGAACCTTTGGAGTTAGGCGTTTCTTCCAAATCTCGCGCCATTTCTCTCGTGTTCAAGTTGCTTTGTAGATCAAGCCTGGGTGTTACTAGAACAGTTTAAAAAGTGAATGTGGCGCTCAATTAAAAGAGTTACTACTATTAGATAGTCGGTCTGTTCTAGTGTGGTGTACTTCACTTATGTCGGCAGACGAGTTTTATGTAGCAACAATCAGAAGTTGAATGGCTGGCAACAGGAGACTGAGAACATCGAATTTAAGAAAACAGGAAGGGTAATATAAAGGAATTGTGAATTGGAAGAATCAGACAGAATGTAAAGGAAAATGGATGGAAGATTTGTGAATGAAGCATTTCTTGTATGGTCCTCGTATTTTACAAAGATATTCTGTAAATTTGTATTAAATAGTAAATTGGTTATCCCCACCTGAGTCTCGTCCACGACACTAGTATATAGTATTCGGTTTAGGCTTGTCTTCGTTCACTCATCAATTTAGCCATCCAAACACGAGTCTCATCATAGGTTGAACAGGGTCCCAAAGTGACGCTGTAAGTAGATAGTCCAGGATGTCAACTTTCCATACATCGCATGACAATACGGCCATGGTGTAAAATAAGAAAGTTATCGTAATAAATCTCTATCACTTCTACTCAGTTTAAATGGTATTTGTAATTTTTTAAACGGTAACACATAAAACGAAATTTATAAATCCCTCAACAAGTCATTACTCATGTAGAAAAAAATTTACACTGTCAGTTCGGTATAAAAACAAACTTAAAGTAGGAAACGTAACGGAAACAGAATTCTACATGTATGGGAGCTACAAGGTATTCGGATTCAAACCAAACACTTCTCAATGTTTGCTCTTTTATGATGATCGGTGAAGCTCGTTAATAACTAACTGCTTGACGATAGCCATAGCAATACAACTCACAGCATCAGTTGGAATAATAGTAATCATGATTTGCTCAGTAGACCAGAAGTGTTCTAAGCGACCAGTTTACAAGACGTTAGGGGTGGTCATTCAATGTATAATATTACACATATATTTAAATTATCCAAAAATACATAGATTAGACAGCCCAAAAAGCAACCTATTTCCTTTCAAAAAGCACTGCTCAGAATTAATTGACTTGGCAATTCAACTAGTTTCTCGATATCCTCCTTTACTGTCTTTCAGATTAAATATCTTATGGTTTCATGTTCTGTCACAATCAACACTGTTATTCCGACTGATTTGACATTCTTTATGGCTAGTTTCTCATCGTGATAATTCCAAATTGTGTGATTAATTGTTCAACCGTTCAACTGGTACATAATATGCAATCCAGATCAATTTCATAAATATCAGTGCTCAATCCATACTGTGGTTTAGGCAGATCAACTGCCCCTGTGTAGTTTCTGATAACTTAGTTATCGAATTGTTGATTCACACTCACTGATTGATCTCTAACAATAAATCAGCATCTTATGCAAATGCTCTAATATTGTAAACGACTAATTTCCTTGTGTTAATAATAGTAATATTTAGTGGTAATGACTCGTCAAGCAACACACCTCTTCGCGTACCCCACAGCTGATTTCGCATTATTTACTAGTCTTGTTTATTCATTTGAACACTAATGATTGAACTGATAGATTTCAATATGCGGAAATAGGCAATAGATGAACATGTAGTGTCAGTCATCATGTTAAGCCCATATACTTTATTCTAACTTTCGGACAGCCCAATCTATTCATTCTACTTGAGTCATATTTTGACCTTGTCAATTATTCGCTTATCAATCTTGACTGTTTTTTATATAAGCGCATATGTGTGTACACTTCATATCCCATGTCTTATCACATGTTTGTAGTTTATTTTGTCTGCCTATAAATATTGAGTAACGCCTGGCTAAAAATGAGTTGGCTTACCAGCCATCTCCCCTGCGCGTCATTTCGCTTTGTTCTATCGCATTCACTTTACATACAAAATATATATATTCAAAGGCCATTCTCGTTAATTGACTTATCTAAATTCCGTTATTGACTAACGTGAATTAAGTCGACAATTGTATACGAGGATAGGTGATAACAAACATTCTTACAATCTAAATGGAGTCAGATCCACGGGCCACTAAAAACACTTGAATTTAGTGAAAGAACAAACTCCATCTTTTATTCCATTACGTGTCTATAAACTTCCATGTATGTATTCTGTTTTTATCCCTTTGAATGTGCACAGTTGAAAAAAAAGGATGGAACTTTCTTCATACAAAAATTACATACATATGGCATTTCACAGTAGCATACCTTCTTGCTACTGGTCAATGCCGGGTGAAGTTCCATATGCAAATGTAAAACAAACAGGTAGAAACACACGAAAGTTTGAAAAACGTTTCTCATCTCAACTGATAATATTGAAAATGTTATTCTACTGATCACCAATATTTGGAAAGAAATAAAAAACAATAAAAATAGAAACAAATAGATTTCACAATACAAACAATTATTTAGTAAATAAAACAAGCTATGAGGAAGATTTATAATAATAATAATAACAATAATAATAATAATAATAACGATAATAGTAATACAATATTTGTAATGGGTGGAGTTCAGTTGATTTTTCATTAACTTATTTATTGAGCATGTCTCGTCTTGGAATTTCTTTGTCTGTTGTCTATACAATAATTAGTGGATTGATCGGTTTACCGATTGATATGTACTTGGAGGTTGAGGGAAGACAGAAGTATTAATAATATCAATCATAGGTATTTTACAGTGACGTGTAAACGAGGTGAATGTCTGAGAAAGTGAACGAAAGAGAGGAAGGAAGGGTTATTTCAAAAATCAATGAATCTTTTGCGTCTTTGTATCTGTGTGTGTGAGAGAGAGAGAGAAATAGCAATTGGAAGACAGAACTACGAGTACATGATGGACAACATATAAACAGTTTGCACAACCATGATGAATTTCCAGCAAACACGTTCACTGTGTTGTTTACATTTTTGTGAGAGAAATACAAGGCGGTTGAAAGGAATACCTCAGTAATAGTAATAATAATAATAATAATAATAATAATAATAATAATAATAATAATAATAATAATAATAATAATAATAATAATAGTGATATTGTATCAGGAAATTCTATTCTGTTGTAAATAATTCATTAAATCCACATAATCTCGATGTATCCCATAAGGATGTAGATGATACAGCATATATTCATAGAGATACATCTCTTCAGGTCTAATATAATGAAATGAGACAGCATAATCACTGCAACAATCGAATCCCTGATTTCAATCAAATGGGGAGAATAAAAGTCAATGTAATGATGATGACGATAATAATAACAATAATATAACAATAATGTGGGGAGATACAGTTACAATTTGAGGTCAGCAAAGTTTGTTGAGTAACTGCACACTGAATAATAAATAGGTCAACAGAACATGATTATGCGACAATAATCTTACAATCACGAGCAACCCTCTCTAAACATTTCTACGCTACATGTGCACCTCTCATCTAGTATATGCTTGATTGTGATAGCGTTACAACAAACACAGTTAGCATTGAGCTCCAAAAGCATGTCGCGATGTTTCCTTTTAAAACTGTTGTTTTTACTTCAGAGTTATATTATTAATGTGCTTAATTTACTCAACCCCCTTCCACAAGCACCACATAAATGTATCTTCTTTAACACTACTCATTTACGTAACTGTTAACTAATATTTGTGACGTGAAATTTCGTGCCAAACTTCAATGTCGCCATCTCAAACCTCAGTGAATCAGTTATCAGACCGTCTCTGTTACAAATTAGTGAGAGTGTAGGGAATTTTTCAAAAAGTGATCTTTAACGATATTACACTCATTATTCTCGACTTCTGTTATTTCTTCGTTTGGTTTCTGTTGTCACCACCAAACAGTACGTTACAATACGTTATCCATCTACTCGTCTACCTTCTGTGTTACATAATACTACTCAGATAAATCCATCTAAAATATATATATAATGGGGACAACGTTGAAATTTGAATTATCATAATATCATTTTAGTATCTGAAGTATTCAGTAGCATTCATGACATAATGTGTGATTATGTTATGTATGGTAGGGGAAGAAGAATAATCATTGCTTTCAGAAACTAGTGTTTTGTCTGATTCTCACTCATTTGTATAGTTTAATATAGACTTGAGTGAGCATTGGAAATTATCCTGTACATAATTGATGTTGAAACTCTTGTTACATTTTCGCCAACCATAACCCTTTCCGTGGATAGCATATTTAAGTGTAGATATGTTTATTAGTAAAACTCACTGTATCTATTCTGTGGTAATTGTACTTTAGGTACCATTCTGGGTAGCCGTTTGTGTCTTTTGTAAGCATATGTGATGGAGAGAACGGATGAAAGCATTCACGTCCTTCTGCATCTAGACTATCAATTACTGAAACATTTGTAGCTTCAGCACAAGATCCTGTAATCAATGGAGGGAAAAGAAGATGTATCGAATAAGATTAGCATTGAATTGTTTCTTTTATTGTTCTCGAATTTGCAGTATGTCAAAACACATAAAATGAAGTCAACGAATAATAGTCTTTCCAGTAAGTTCTAATCAGGTTCTACGCTTTTTGGGTGGTCCAGAAAACTCGTAAAAGCCAGGAAATGCTCAGGAAACACTAAGTAGCATTTCATCCAATCACTGTTCACTAGAAGTTCCTTCACGTCAATGCAGTCGAGAGAAACGTTATACAAGGTACCAGCACGCAGAATTATCGTAATGACAACAACAAACCATCATCCTCACACTGGTTATGTGGCGTTTGGCGTTCTAAAAGGTTTTGTCCTTCTAGAAATCATCGATGTACTATGTGTTCTAGAAAAGGGCACAAAGTAAGTCATTGCAAAACCTGGAAACGCCGTTAACAGACAGTGTGTTCGAAAAGATTCAAGCCACGAACAGCTAAAGTAACGGTGGCTCTTCACAAAGCCAGCTCACATAACCGTAGAAAGTATGTTTGTCTCAAGATTAGTGGGTATGATGCCCGCTTACAGTTAGACACAGTCTCCGATATAACACTTATAAGCAGGAGAACGTGGGAGAAAAATATTGGGAGACCGCGAATATATTCAATTCATCAACCAGCACAAAGTGCATCTGGGGGAATTCTAAACATTTTTTGTGAGATTCATTGCGAAGTCACAGTCAAAGAGTTTACGGAGAAGGGAGTAATATTTTTGACAGAATGTCCACCACTCGACTTATTGGGGCTTGACTGGATAGAAATGTTGAAGTTTTAGAACCGTCCCATAAACTCAATCTGTAACAACGTCAGTACGTCAAAAGTTGAAGAGAAAAACTCAGTGGAAGCATTATTAAAACGACATAAAATGGTATTTAGTGATGGTCTTGAAGAATGTAGTAAATTTAAAGCTGTTCTTACCCTTCGAAATGAATCAAAACCAGTGTTTTGACCTAAGAGACCTGTACCATATGCTGCCTTCCCACTGGATGAACAAGAGCCACAACGACTTCAGAAATTCGGTGTCATTGAACAAGTGAATTTCTCAGAATATTGGTAGTAAAGAAAACTACTGGCAGCGTCTGTTTATATGGCGATTACTCAACTGGGCGAAATAAAGCCCTAGAAACTCATCAGTATCCCTTACCCCTACCTGAAGATCTTTTTGCTAAACTGAATGGAGGTAAGCTCTCTGCAAAGTTGGACTTATCAGAAGCTTATTTTCAAATTCCTTTTGCTAATGAGTGTAAAAATCTGCTCACCGAAAACACACACAAGGGTCTATTCCGGCATAATCGACTACCCTTCGGAGTCAAGACTTCCACATCCATATTTCAGCAAGCAATGGATAATATGCTACAGGATGTTCCAGGTGTTGCAGCTCATCTGGATGATGTAATAATTATGAGAGTAGATAGAATAGACTTGGAAAAGAAGCTCGACCAGGTGCTGTCACGATTAGTCGAATATGGAATATGACTCCATGTGGAGAAATGTAACTATTGCATGCAAAATGTACGCCTCCCTGGATTTGTAATCAACAAAGATGACAAAAGACCAGATCCAGAGAATACCTAGGCAGTGAAAATTATGCCTGGACCGACGGGTGTCCTCACACTACGATTCTTTTTGGGACTAGTTAGTCATTATAGAACTTTTATTCCTAACCTTCATCACTTACGTGCCTCCTTAAATAACCTTCTGACGGAGAATGTAAAATGGGATCGGTCCACAACTTGCCAAGCTGCTTTTGAGGAAGTCAAGAAAATACTATTCTCGGATCTGTTGCTCACCCATTACGATCCATCCTTACCCATCGTAGTAGCATCAGATGCTTCAGACTAATGGATTGGAGCAATTATGTTTGGTGATAGAATCGTTATTCCAAAAAACATTACACCACAAGGTTCTGAGACAATTCCGCTACAGTCATACCGGTATCAATAAGATGAAAGCGTTGGCTCGAAGCTATGCTTACTGGCCTACAATGGATGAAGATATCGAAACCAGATGCTGCAATTGTTCGTCGTGCCTGCAAACAGCTGAAAGTCCAAATAAATATGAACCACAACGATGGGAAAAACTTAAAAGTACTTGAGAGAGGCTGCACGCAGCTCTTGCCGGCCCAATACGAGGGAGAATTATTCTAGTCATAGTGGACACACTCACAAAATAGCCACAAATCCGAACTGTTTAGCTGCTTTGGAGTTCCGGAGACTTTAGTGACCGATAATGGCTCACAATCCACTGCAGAATCACTCAAGCACTTCTACAACATTAATGGAATTGTGCATATGCGCTCTCCACTCTATCACCCTCAATCAAATGGACAGGTAGAGCACTTCGTGGACACATTTAAAAGAGCACTACTGAAAGGTAAGGGCAAAAGGTAGAAGTCAGGTAATTAAGAAATTCCTAGCACATTATAGAACTACGTCAAACCCCATTGTTCCAGATGGGAATTCCCTTGCTGAAGCAATGTTCGGGAGAAGAATCCGAACTATATTCAACGCCATCTTGCCACCTAAACCAATAGATGGACGCAGATAAAATCAGAATATCCGGAGTTTTAACGTGGGTGATATAGTGCTCGTCAAGTCATACATTGGGGAAAATCGTTGGCAACCGTGAGTCATTGAGAAGAGAATAGGAAATGTTTTATACAAAGTACTTGGGACTTTAGGAACGTGGATTAGACACATTGATCAAATATACAGAGAAAACAGAACACTAAACACGGTATATAGTCGAGTGAGTCTTCTGGGAGAGATAATTACAGATGCTCCAATGGCAAGAACCTCAACAGACACTCATAGACGCTGGATACTAAGAAAATCCGAACGTCGCAGAAAACCAGTTATCAAGCTGCAAGTAGACCAGATAAAAAGTATCATTTTTCGAAAAAAGGGGAGGCGTTGAGGAGATACAGAAAATTCCTCGAAATTAAGCCAAGAAATGCTCTAAAAACACTGAGAAGCATCATATCCAATCAGCGTTCACTAGACGTTTTGCCAGAAACATCTAGAACGTGAGACGTCACATGTCGAGTTTCTGATTGGATGATTACTCATACTGCTACTGTAGTGTTAGTCATTCGTTTTAGCCCATAGTATATCTTATTCTAGTTTCCGGACATTCCATTCTACTCATTCTACTTGAGTCATGTTTTGACCTTGTTAATTATTCGCTTGTTAGCCTTGACTGTATTCATGTGAGCGTATATGTATGTACACTTGATGTCCCATGACTCATCACATGTCTGTAGTTCATTTTGTCTGCCTATAAATATTGAGTAATGCTTGACTAAAATGGAGTTGGCTTCCCAGCCATCTTCCATACGTATCTAAATTGCTTTGTTATGGCTCTCGCTCGCTTAGCATGCGAACGGGCATCATCATTGGTAAGCCCGCCGACGACGAACGCAACGCAGCAAGCTACGTCGATGAAGGCACTTCTGCACTCTATACGTTCGAAGAACATATTCAGCGAAGCCAGCGCAATCTCCAATCCGACGCAATCAGCACAGCCTGTGCAACATGACATGGACATGCTCAAGTCGTATTATCTTATCGATACTTTGTCCTCATGTCAATTATCTTCATTGATACATTTGTCGGATTGTTCCATTACGATTCAAATTATCATTGTATGCTTATTATTACATTATTGCTAATATCATGATCGAATGTGGAATTATTAATCTTGTTCGTGCTGTCATTAAATCATGACATTTTCGCAATCATATTACTCACCGAACAAATTATCATTTTATGAAAATTCCACTTAACTTTGTGAGAACTCATTGGGATATTTTTACTATTCGAAAACGTGAAATTTTCCTGCTTTAAGTGAGTTCGTTCCAATTTTTCATGTCATTTTGAACTAATATTGCATTCATTCACTTAGTCGAGGTCAGCAATTTATGTTATCACAACATACATTTTTCATTTCGAAGTCGCCTCCTATTATGTCTGTGGATGCTTCTGACTAGATGACTAGTAACCATTACGTTCATTTTATCTATTCTTCCACGTGCATAACTACATGCTGCATCACTTATCACTCAAAAACGCTATTCGAGTACTGCAACTACTATTCTATACTCATCGCATAGTATATCAGAACATAGAGTTTAGAGCTAGTCTCAAAGATACACTCTTGTTCGTTACATCCAAGTCAGTCTCATACGTCGCAATCGCTAATCATATGTATTGGTATTTTTGTCATGTCTTGGTACGGTTTTGTAACAAACGAGATCGAGTGCATCTCCCTCAAACCACTCTAGGCTTCATGACCAAAAAGGAATACGACTCTACGTACCTCGTCTACTCAGTCACTATTCTGTTCCTCTGGTCATTCTACTAATACATATTTAACGATAACTCAATGCATCTATCATAACGCAGACGACAACGTTCACTGACTTCAGATTTTATGATTATTATCAATTGCAGTACAGCAACGAATATCACCCGTCGATGCAGTTATCATTTCACGACTTGCCTATTATCATCCTACGAACGGGAACTACGCATTTGAATTCGAATTCACTCATCACTAGTCGATGCTATTTATTCTACTGCGGCTCAACAGAACATATATTTAGCATATTTCACTATTCTGTCAGCATCACAGACCAATTTCTGTCATATTCTACTTTACTTATTTTCACGATTTATTTCGCTATCATACTCACAAACAATTTATTACTGTTTTCACGATATTTTGAATCACTCATACAAACGTGTTATTTTATCGTTCAGACAGTCATAGCATTAGTAGATGTTAAGTTTTTTTGTACACTCATTAATTTGCTCATATTCACATGCTAACATTTTCATTTTTGTCCGAGCCTTTGCGATATTCATGTGTTCTTTTGCATAAGTATGACATTTTCATATAATACGCTCACCCCTCATGAGACACTGTACTTTATCGAGTGTTGTACAATTTTTTGGCTACTTATTGTTAACGTTAGCTTCATATCACTTCAGTGTTATTTTCGAAAACAGACATTTTTTAAATGTGCTATTTTCTACGAGGGGGCTATGTAGTGTTAGTCATTCGTTTTAGCCCATAGTATATCTTATTCTAGTTTCCGGACATTCCATTCTACTCATTCTACTTGAGTCATGTTTTGACCTTGTTAATTATTCGCTTGTTAGCCTTGACTGTATTCATGTGAGCGTATATGTATGTACACTTGATGTCCCATGACTCATCACATGTCTGTAGTTCATTTTGTCTGCCTATAAATATTGAGTAATGTTCGGCTTGAATCGGAGTTGGCTTCCCAGCCATCTTCCATACGCGTCGTTTCTCTTTGTTCTATCGCATTCACTTTACATACAAAATATATGTATCCAATGGCCATTCTCGTTAATTGACTTATTTAATTCCGTTATGGACTAACGTGATTTAAGTCGACGATGATATACGAGAATAGGTGATAACAATCATTCGTACAACCTAAATAGGAGTCAGATCAACGGGTCTCATCACTACTACGTTCGGTAGCATTCCAGAATTTTCCAGAAACCCAAGGATATCTAAAATAATATAAAAACACTGGATTTTCTGTACATAAACGAACCTCTTGAGTAAAGTACTTCTCGTTTGTTTTGCTTCTTTTCTCTCGTGTTCAGATCGCTGTGTAGTTCTAGCTTGAGAGTTACGAGAATAGCTTAGGAACCGAATATAGCGTTTAATTAACACGACTTATCATACGCTTATACATCGTGCAAATTATAGATGCAAAAGCAATGCATGGGATCTTACAGTGATTAGTAGGACAAAACAGAATTGTTAGTTGATAAATACATATCAACTATGTACTACCAACTCCAATTATTGTGTCAACTGTAATTGTCAGAATGATAATGAGAATAGATATAGATGTCATAGTGTAAGACAACCGATGGAAACCCAACTGGAAGCAAATAACTGTTGCGTCCCACTATAAAGCTACTCTATACTGAGCACCTAGACTTCATCCAAAAATCGAATTTAATGTCTTCAGGATTTCACAAACCGTTCAGACTAATCCAAATGCATTAGGCCGTTTCCATGTCATATTCAACGATATCAATTATTATTCAAATCAGTTGTTGCATAGTCATAATACAATCACGTCACACGCAAAATTAGTATGTATACCTACCAAGTTTCACGTCTTCAGCGAATGCATGTTTATTACTTTGACAAACGGCATTATTTTCCAAACCATTAGCGATATTCAAAAGACCAGCTCGAGATAGCACATATCCTCCACCGCCGGACATATATCCTTGTTTAACAAATGGCTATTTTGCAAAGAAGAAGAATGTGAAGGAAATAGAAGAATATCATGGATTAAGGAGAGTGAAAGTAACAATTTAGACGCATTATTTGTAATAACAAGTATTTGAATCTCTCAAATTCTTATACAAATTAAGGTAACACTGGGAACTACTTGGATGCTCTCTGATAGTAGAACAACTTTTCTTAACCTGAAACTATGATCTTTAGAAATTCACTTGAATTATTGACAGTTCCTGTCATGAAACGATTTGATATTCCCCGCCCCCTCCCCAACTTCAATTATCATGAAGATATTCTGTTTACATTTATGAAATAATTCCTCACTTAAGTAATAATACGCTGGGTAAGTAATCCGAGTAATCACAACATTCAGTTCTAATCATTGGTCAATCATATCCTATCTGTTAGGTAAATCAAAATCACTATAATCTTCGTTAATTATTGTGACCGAACACTGATGATTACTCCATTGATGAATGTGGTATTTAACCGGAAATAGCCTTTTCGAACGGATATAACATAAGTGTCACCAAAATCACTTGGATCAGTACCAGGATGATGGAGTGTTTTTATCAAATACTAATTATTTTGTACATACCTAACCACACAATTCCGAATTCAATACAATTCAAGTGTGTAGACTGTGTTCTCTGTGTTCAGTCCCGATCCATTCATCACTATTATACCACACACAAGTTAGATCTGGGAACTTGGATTACATTCGGTACTAACAGTGTTGCTACTATTACTACCATTACAGAATATCCTAACAAACCTAAAGAGGAAATAACAAAAAGAGAGAAGACAAACATCTTAGCAAAGTGAACTGCTTCAACTGCAATAAAAATCACGATGGACAGAGTGGCTGCCTTCTTCTTCATCATCAACAACATTAGGTGTCTGAGAAGCACCATGAGTTATCTTCGCTTATACCTATGCATGTGGACAATTGTAGACACGGATTTGATTGAGAATATGTTGAAATTTTGAGGAGAGAAAATACAAACAAAACTAGAGTTTTAAGTAAATCGGAGCAGGTCAAACAGCAATCAATAAGCATATGTGTGTTAATTCGAACATCCCATTTCCCTACGAATTTTGTCAAGATGCTGTCCAGAAAGACCACAAAATCTTCAATATTGAACTACCCATCTGGGAGAACGCTAACCCACCTAAATTTGTTTGACATTTTACTGATTTGGCCACCACAGTCACTTTAACATACTATCGGTTGATTGTATTATCTTATCACGCAAATAAATCTTCTTGTCAAAAATCAACTACTCCATAGATATGGAGATGCACAACTCACCTTGAATCGTCTGCCCATGATAAATGGTTTATCGGGATTTTCTTTATGTAAAATTTTGCGCAGATTCTCTACAATCACATATGAATCATCATCCGCCTTCATGAAGTAATCGTAATCATTGGCATAATGTTTTGCCATGTATTTTATGGCTCCAGCTGTTTTATTCCACAATAAGTTGCGACCTTCAGCATTGATAACAGCTACAATTTACGAATACATTGATATATTCGATGGTGATTGGAGTAACTAAACAGACAGATTCAATGACAATCATAAATGATAATAACCAACACGGGGAGACGGAGTTCATATGGGAAGGAACTTTCACTAACCTCTGGTGGACTTGGACTGAATGATGATAGGATTTATCTTTTTCTTAAAATTCAAACTTGGCTTAGAAGCCAGGTAATTCAGCCAATTATATACATATATATTTCGGCTCAAGTTGCCACATCACATTGGCTCAAATGTTAGGGAAAAACCAAGGGCAGTAGACATAGTAACAGTATCAGTGGTAACAAAGAAAATTAAAAATAGAAGATACGATTCGGGAAGGAAATATGAAATTATCAAAATGATTGAAAACTTCATGTGGAATTTGGGAACTTTGAATATAAGAGAAGACGAAGAATGAATGCATCTGAGTAATTGAGAACAACTTTGAGCATTGTTACTCAAAGTCTCCAACCATTGTTTACGATGATCACGCGGATCTCAGCCAGGTTGTATGCACCTAACTACATGGATTGGTTCAACATTCAATGCCTTTGTGGACTGATGCCACGTTTTGTTTATTGTCCTCCCCTGACTTTTTCCCAAGCTACTAGTTGCACCAGCCATTATTACGCATCCAGTTAGTTGGTAGTTGGACATGCATAATGCATATCCCAACAATCTCAGTCGATAGATTCATTACCTCGTCAATCGACTTCCTATAGTTACCTGGTGCTGTGCGTTCAACCTCAGAATTGTCAAATCGATGGTACAAAAATATATGAGCAATGATTTGAAGACATTGATGATCAAGACCTCGTAACCCAAGAATATCATTTATTATAAAAGGTATGTTTCTCACCCATCGAGTAGATCGGAGCGAAGTGTCGAGCAGTTGACAGACGTATATCTTGTGTGCGCCACAAGTGAAGCAAGTTGGTAAACGCCAACCGGCCTCTCTCCATCCGTGTCGAGATTCCGTCAAACACTAACCCACTAGTGTTGATGAGACTTTCAAGTGAAGTGAAGTGAAGTGGTCGACACAATCCACTATTTCACTCGCTATCGTCAAACTCAAGGTTGGCAGAAACCAGTCCTTAAGCAATATTTTGCGTTACGATGAAGTGATACGCATCACAAACACGCTCTCACTGTTGATCGATTAAGGAGGTCAAGAGACCCTGAGTGTTGTCAAGGTATTCACCAAATAAAAATATTTCATCTAAGTATTCCGAGTCAACAAATGAATCTTCTGGTAGATCAATTTATCATAATTCACACGATGATATTATTATTATTATTATTATCTCAAGAAGAACGTCTACCAATAAGTTAAATGGAAATGGAGAAAGTGGACAACCTTGAAGAACACTACTTGGAGTCATCGATTCTCATTCTCTTTCGAAGCACCATGAAAATGTAGTTTTATTGCACATTCTGCACCAAAATAGAAAAATCATTCATTTTCGACATTTCTACAAATTACAAACTGGTTATCTTTATTCTGATTGCATTATCCTTACACTATACTTTAACATCAGATATATCTATTATGAAATCCCACACAAAAGCTCTTCCTGATGCCTAATTAACGTTTTGTTCGGTGAATATATTTTTATCTGCATCAGTGTTTTTATAGTTGAGTCCAGTCTTTGTTTGTATACAGTTGTCAAAATAGTACATTACATGCATAGCTACTTGAAAAATTCACTTGTGTCAAGATCTGTATAAGTCTCGTGTAAATCGAAACACATTGGTAGTATCGATTAAAATGTTTAATTTTTTTTGTAACTGAAAACAATACGACAATATTCATTCGTCCAATGAGCTTCGAACAATATTATCTGAGTACTCTCAGTGTATATTATGATGTCTAAGATAAATCATTATTTTAAGATAACACTAATGTAATGTTTCTCGTAAAGTCAGTTATATATTGCACAACAATCTTTTCCACGTAACACTATATATCCTGTACACTTATTTTCATCTCTGCCCAATATAATGAGATATTGTGATCAGGATAGTTGGTCATATTTTTACTGAGACAGTAACTGATCAATGGAGTTGTACAAAGATCGCATCATACCATAAACGCGACCAAATCAAATTAATCAAATGCTTGACACAAAGCATCTGGGTTTCATCTTTCACCAACAATGTATCCACGATATAATTTGATCTGGATAAAGGGTTATATAGTAGAACACTGATTACTACTGCGGTGTGTGCTACTTATATTGACATAAGTTAGTAGTGTACATGTTAGCCGTGAACAGAATGTCTGGCAGCAGAGAGACAAGAGGATCGAGCAGTAAAGAATGGAAACAGAATGCAATTTGTATCAAAATGTAAGGACAATGAAGTCTGAGTCATTTTGAGACAATCGGTGGATATTTTGTAAATAAAGCATTTACTTTATGATTGCTAGATTTTATTAACAAGTCCTGTAATCTTGTGTTGAATACATTAGATTGTCTCCACTGGCGTTCTTGTTCACTACACTAATACTACTACCACTATTACATAATATCCGATCAGCGTAATCCACCTACTTTACAAAGCACTGTTGAGGAGTCCCACAATACGACGGGACGGCTGTTCCGTGCTTTCAGGTTTCCCATAGTAGTCTAGCTTCAACCGATTCATGCTCTCAACTATTGAGAGTTCTTCTAATTTTGTAAGATGGTGCAAATTCTTATTGCCTTCAAATAGTTTTATCATAATTCATTAATCTATAGCTATTCCGTGATGAAAATTTTCTTTTCGACGACATCATTTACTTATGCTGTACATTCATACTCATAGATATATGGAAAACATGTCTATAGAAGGACAGAACATAGACATATATTCTCCACATATCTATGAATATGAATGTATAGTCTAAGTAAATGATTTCAACGAAAAGAAAACTTCCATTGCTAAATGGGTTATTTTAATTACCATAACTACTTGTTATTTCAATTTATGCTTGTAAACATATGTTTGTATAAATCATATGGAAAAATAATATCAAGTGAATTTAAACTTCACCCCATTGCACAAGCAAGTGGCTATCAGAACTCAGTAGCTGAGTAGATGACGCGATGGAGTTTGAAGCGAACGGTACTGGGTTCGAGTCCCAGAGTGAATGAACTTCAACTCAGATGCAGGTATATACAGGCGACGGATCCTAAATAGGACGAAACGCGCGTCAAACTGGATTCCACTTCTGGCCACTATCTATCTTTGCTTAGAATGCTTGTGAATTAAGGCAATATCAAGGCAATACAAACAGTATGCACATGCGCCAATAACAGACTGATCAATTGCAGTGTTAAGCATCAATAAGAAGATTCAAGTAAAAACAATACCAAGTGAATTTATTCATATTGAAAGGTCTATTATCAGAATAAATATGGGTCAGATAGTGTGAGAGAAATCATAGTGCAATTACAATTCGATCAAATGTTTAGCGAAAGACTACATTGTGTAAAAAATTATTAGTAAGGATGAACGTGAAGTAAATGAATCGTGTATTGGAGAGATGAATAATGATCTTTAGCCAATAGTAGTAGTAATAATAATAACAACAGTAATTTCCACTTAACATACAAGCAGATTCAAGTCAACATTCCATATGAGTCATAAAAAACATGAACAATTTTATTCTATTTTGTTTGACAATCCTACAGTTCACATGCTTTTACTTTAAACGATGCACTTTACCCTTGACCTGAATATTTTTCGGATTAATAATTTGAATATATGGATTGTAGAACCTGAAGAGAATCTATCGAAAACAATATTCTTCGTTCATAGATTAGTCTTCTTAACATGATGGGGATCTTTAGACAATAAATATGTTTGTATGCTTTGATCTCATTTACAATAAAAAACAACGATTATAGGCTAGAATCATTGATTCAAGAGGACAGGCAAACACTAGAGATTGAACGTTCTTACCAGGGTTTGTAAATGGTATGTTGTGTTCTCCAAAGTGCAATAAAACGTCATGGTGGAATTTAAAAATTGTAATCTTTCCGTATTTAGTTTACAGCTTAAAGTAAACACTCCTTTCTCAAATAGCTAGATGAGTAGACATATAAGACATTTAGGAATGGAACCAAATGTCCCTGTATTTTCTAATGAATACAGTATTCTCAGAAGCTTCAATTTAAACACGAGTCTAATTATGAGGTAATATAGTGTATTCAATGCTCTCAGAGTAAATAGTAGAACCTTAAATGTTACACAAGATTTAACGTGGGTTTCTACTGATCTAGTCATTAATCATTTTCGTTCTAAATTGGATTAGTGTCGATAATGTGTTACACATTAATTACTACGGTTTGACTTGACAATCAATGCTGGCTGGTGCAGGAGGAGGTTGCATAAAATAAGGGGTGGAAAGACCGGGACGAGGATTCAATCACGGAAGTCAGTGAATGTTGATATGAGTCACATTAGTAAGTCCAATTTACCGGCTTAGTGTTCCTGGGATAATCATTTACAACATTTGGAGACGTTGAGTGGTATGACTCGGAATCTAATGCATTAAGACAGATGTATGCATTTTAATAATATTTCCTTTGATTTTGAATTCCAATACTTCTCCATAATTTTCATTGCACCAAATAATCCCCTTTTGGAGATTATTTTCTTGATGCTTACTATCACTGATATTACTATCGTTTCGACTGTTTCGTTATCTAGTCTGGTCATATAGGTCACAAAAACATGAAACAGTAATAATAATAATAATAATAATAATAATAATAATAATAATAATAATAATAATAATAATAATAATAATAATAACGATTCTGGCAACTGGACAATCAGTGACTTACCTATTGAAGGAAGATGCGAATCAGTTTCACTACTAATGAATAAATAGTTATTACATCGACCAGCCCACGTAGCTTTCACATGAACAGCTTTTGATTTATGATTTGCTGGCATTGTTAGTATCCAACAGAACACACGTACTTGTTTAGCCAATACGTTAGCCAATGTTGCCTCGGCTACAGGTAGGAAGGAAAGTATACAAGAATAGAAACAATGTAGATTCGTCTAATTCTTCCTCTAAGACGAGGAGAATTAATTTGACATTCGAGACTGCGAACTGACACCGTTTGTCTGAATAAAGTAAGTCAATTCGCATAAACAGAGAAATTGACTGACTGACTTAGTAGTCAAGAAACTTAACTAAAACAATGAGAACAATTAAAACAATGTTCACTGAAAATGCAGTTAATGCATCTGTATCACATGAGCTGACATATACTCCTTAGTAAGAGTCTTGAATCTACAAATCTCGTGTTATACTGACCACATTTCGAAGGTACCCGTTCACTTACACAACTTATGAAAAGAGTTAGTTACTTCACAGATCAACACAAGTTCAACATAGTGAAACAGATGTTGTGCATTGATTCACACTCAATAGCAACACACCTAGTGAATTGGAAATCCGAAAAGAACTTAAATGTATAGACGAGACAAGACATCCTCCCGGAATACTCTACTTGAATTTTTATCAGAATGGAGACGACATATTTGTGACGCGATTGGCCAAGCTGAAACGAAGAGAAGAAATAATGAAAATTTTAAACATGTCTCTACCTCTAAGACTCAGTGTTTGAACAGCTCATCATCAGAAGTTAGGTGGTACAGTTGAACCACCACAATAAACATGACATAGACCTCCAAATCCTGGCTGTCAGAAAAGTAAAAACGTATATCGAAAAAATGAAAACTCAACCAAATCTAAGGAAACAATTTGAAGCTCATCATATTTTCGAAGATATGCTGAAAATACTGGATCTAGATGAGGGTAAATTATTGAAAATTTCAACAGTATGGAGAATGAAACAAGCTAACTTGTTTCAAATGAGGTCCATTCCACTCTATGAGCTATCGATCAGATATTCCACTTTTTGGGATTTTACTTATATTGTGCATGGATCATTTTCCGAAGTTCTTAAATTCGAACTACTCTGTCGGTACTGTCATTTCTCCTGTGTCATCTGCCATATCATTTGATTATGAAACTGTTTCATTACAAGTAATAAATATCATCAATCCTGGAAAACCGAAATTTCTCAAACATTTCTAATCCATTAATTCATAAATCAACACACTCTCTAGATGTAACCACAACATTGCAACTCATCACAGAGTAAGGCAGTCAATTTGTTCTTCATCTCCATGAATATTTGCAAAACCATCAGCTAGCACATGTATTCAGCCAAAGGTTCCACACCCACCCAAAACATTTCTCACTTGATTAACTCATCAAAATTTTCACGGTGCGCTCACGAAATTTGTGTTGAACACGATCCACTAGTTCGAATTCTCTATCTTCCACGTTTATACATCAATGCCATCACTAAAATCATTCCTGTATAGATTCCATGTCGTATTTCGGTTAATGTCAATTCCAATAAACCTCATCACACTGTACTAACATGTGTAGTTAGCAAGCATGTTTCGGTTTCATTTGAAGACACACGCCATCACATCATAAATATTCCTCAAAATATTGGTGATCACTAAATGCTATATTCCAACTTCATGAATAAACAATGGAGCATTCATTATGAAATTGATTGATTCTGAACTCCATTCTGTTTACATTTTATTTGAGATAACACTAATGAGGATAATAGATAACCGTGTACTCTGTGTTAGCCAACCACTCTCATTGGCTAATATTTATTCATAGGAAATAGCTTTGAAATCTTGTAGACACCACAATGTTCAATTTTCATATTTGAATAGACAGAACACAAGATATGACAGCACTACCTGTGAGAAATGCACCCAGTTTCGTATTCCTGCTATTTTCACACCGTACATTCAACTCCGTTATAGAGAAACGACTGACTACATTATGGTGAAAGTACGTAAATTATGATGATCAGTCTACAGATAATCCAACTGCTTTCATTTCTAAACCAGTGAAATGTCTTCAACTGTGAATGGGAAGTTAGTAAATAAATAACAATGGCTGATCGTAATCACGATAATCTCTCTTGTTTCTTTGATACCAATGCCATTTTTATGCTGTATTCGTTCGCTGATTAAGAAATAGGTTAAGTGAATTCCTGAGGTTTCCGGTGAAACATAGGAAAGACTTTGAGGAAATTGTTGAGACGTGGAGGGTTCTTTATGGAGCTAAAACTGAAGGGAACAAGTTGTTTCCAATAGATGAAAACCCTCTGTGTGGCTGTCAATACTAAAACGATGATGAGAGCTTAACACTTTCATCGAATACCTATGTTGATAAAATTCACAAAAGTGTGTATTGTTTCCAGCTTTTACGTTTCCAATTCACTTTCTGGATGAATTATGTGAGTATGAGTTTGAGAAAGTTCTCTATTTATTTGGTCCAACAGAGTCACTTAGGACAGATAGAGTAAAATTTGAAACGATGAGACGACTGAAGGGTCTGAATTCAGAGAGGTGCATAAATGTTTTCAACAGTAGAAGGTAATACAGGCCAAATGCGTTTCTACAAATGGGAACTATCTCGAAAATGGATAAGATTGATGTACGACAAACCATCCACTCAACTCGCCTACTTACTTAGTAAAGACACTGGTGACTGAAAAAAATGATTCACATTTATAACGACTCAGTTCGTTAATATTTAGCTAGAATTCGGAAACTACAGTCTGAATCATAGATGGATATTTCGAGTATTGCTTCAACTGAAAGCAATTTTTAGAATAATCATTGAAACCATTAATAACAACTGTGGTTTCCCACTTCAAATCAAAACCAATGCACTTACCTAAATGTTGTAATGCATGTTCGTGTATTGAATCGTTCGAAAGAACTGTAATTTTCAGGGGAACACGATAAAGAAATTGATAGTCATTTTAAGTTAAATCTAACCTACTCAACTGTTTATATGTATTATCGCTTGTTGTCAATTTCGGTGACTTGGCTGCAAACAGTGCTGCTGTATACAAATCCTCTTCATGTTGTACATAGTAGAGGTGGACAATTAGTCCTCCACCAAGCATACCGATCGTGTATATAAGAAGCATACAAAAGAATGGTGATAATTGCATAAAGACTCGAAATTCCTAAGATCAAAATGAGAGAGCGTTAGTACCAACTAACAGAATTTACTTTTGAATACAATTCCAATCAGAGAATTGTTATGGAAGCATCATAATCATATCACTGTTTCATCTGATGTAACAAATAAGTGGTAAACTTTATTCGTGTTTATGTTTGTATGCCTGAGTACCATGTGGTTCAGTAAATTCCTAAACGTCCTTTCCAATGTCATACTTGTTTACTACAATACCATTTAATTGGATCCATTCGACTTTGGTGAATAGAGGAGTTTGATTTTGTGTATTTCCCATGGGAAATTTACTACAACGATTTCACCGTTATTATGTAGACGTATGAGGATTAATAGACCAAATTCAGAACAGAATGTGTCCACATATATACATTTGATTGCAACATTGATTGATATCAATATGAATCTCTGAGTTAGTATAAATTTTTGCCGAAATCGTGTTCACATATAATTGACGATTGTTAGTCAACTTCAACATTCGGTTCATTAAATTAATATGTCGCATACATTAATTGTCAAATTGAATCTCTCGACTCCAAGTTGGATAAGTAGCAATTAGGAATAGAATGTTCGTTTCATCACTATCTAACTTGTGTAAAGCGGACGTTTTTGATACACGGCACAGAAATTATCATAAATCACTAATAATTATCTATGGACGTGTTACAGAACCCTTTGACCTCTGCCTTTCTCCAAATGCATCTCGTCAACAAATTTCAATAATAATATCTAATAGACCAGATGATTTTAACACCATTCTTGAAGCGTAGGATCGAGATGTAGTTTGGCAATTCCCAAACGAATGCAAAACCTTTTTCTAATGCTTTCTGAATTATCTATGTTTCACCTCACTGATGTCATATCGTGACGTAAACCAAGTTGAAACTAAACATATCGACATAATGAACTCATTTAAGTAATCATTATGTCTCCATCAATGATTAGTTTCAAATGGATTCCATATATCCTATACAAACTCTATTGTGTGGGGTCGTGATCGTTCAGTTGTGCTGTATATATATATAATTTAACTATTGTAAAAAATACAACTGAAATAATCACTTAGTCAATAAAATAGGGATCATCGAAGTAAATTGTATTTAAAATTCCGAATGAATGATTAGCTGGGGATTTTAGTTTGGTTTTTTATAAACCAATGGTCTGATGTATCTACTTCCTCTTCAATAAACGGCTTCCCTAACTTTTAAATTTCTAATCATGACTTGATTCGTCCCATGTTCAATCGAATTATGATTAACATGAGTTAAGAGATACACAGTTGATTGAGTGGTGATTATCAGATTGGATAATTCAAGTATTTGTATTAATCAGGCAAATTGAATGTAGTAGAAAAAAAGCACAACTACTAAATACGCAATAGATAAAATGAACTGTTATCCCCATGGAGACGTTGTAAAAGATACATCTTTTTACGACCCATATCTTGAAAAAGAATACAGACTGAATACCACAGATTAAGCAAAGTGAGGGATTAGTCTTTGAGTTACTAATGTTTACCAAGGTACTGGATAGTTTTATATCCAAAATGAATGTAGGTATCTCAAAAAAAGTGTATGAGAAGTTTACTATGAAAAAATAATTAAAACATTCAGCAGACTATATTTTCAATTTCATTGTTTCTTCTGTCAAGCGTTCTTTAATGGTTGCTCATTTGTATAGGGGGAAGTTAGCTTGTGACTAAAGTCTACTAAATAAGGTCTCAATCATGTTTAATCTTTGGACGCCCTATACTTTTGCACAATAATTCACTAGTTAGTAGCAACCGTTGTCATGTCGATTCGTTGGTGCTAATTAAATTCCATTCAACACATTTCAAGAGCGAAAATAGGGATAAAACATACTTTCCAGTAGGTCCATAAATTCCTTAGTTTGATTCTCGGAATATCAGTTATAGTTTTAGATTACTCGGTAAAAAAGCGGAGAGAGTATCATTTATGGACGAACCAATCAGGTATAAGATAACGAGTCACGAGTTTTGGCGCGAAATTCATGCATTCTTTTGGCTAAATAGAGTTTATGTCAGTTCGTGATGAAAACTTTAGATCTAATTTTCAACCGTAACCATCAACTGTAAATGTTAATTCTACTGCTTTATAATCTTCATTTCGTACTAATCAGTAGGTTTCGACTTTTTTTTGTAGTTCTAACTTTCATTTTATTTACTTTCTCCATGCGGTATGATGAGATACGGTACGAAGCCGTTTTTTTCACAAGATGTATGTAAATAATTTTTAATTATTAAAATGAAAGCCTTAGTGTTAATTACTAAATGAACGGAAAAATGCTCAGAGGTACCAGATATGGTACTTTTATTAAATGTTCAAAATGAATGAATAACCCCACACGCAAAGACCTGAGAACCATACGAATGAAATTCATAATCATGTTAAGCAATCGTTATGACTATAAATTTTATTATCTAATATATCATCAATAACATGAATTGGTGAAGAGTTTACTATAAAAAATGGATAAAGAAGAATAAAATTGTGGAAATAGGCATGACAAACTTATTTTGTAATGTTTTTTTTATTTTTTTGTCTGTTAATTTTCACACTTTGTACATTTATCACAAAATGATTCTAAAGGTTGTTTGAGTGTATGACCTTGAACTCACGCTCTTCCGTTCTAAATGGTTCATAGCATGACATACGTTGTTAACTGCTTGTAAATAGACTACTATACACACGTCTCTCGTTCTCGATTGCCTGTGGTTATGATAATGGAACTCTGAAATATCTATTATCTACATTTATATACTGCAGCTATATTTCCATTATATTCTACATCTGGCTATATTACTGAAATCATAACAACCTTATTGGAATTATCAATTTTCTATAAATGTGAATTATGGTACCAAATCCAAGTGGAACACGCCAAAGCTTGCTGATTTAAGTAACGTCTCATAATTTGTCTTTGTATTTATAAATTATAATTGATATATTATAACATTAACTTCTGGACGTAATAACTTTATTGTCATTTCTGAGTTAATATAGTTTTTAGTCCACCACAGACTCTCGTTAAATTATGCCTTAGGTAGAATATACTGAAGCAGTAAGTAATTTATGTAATTTTGCTCTGATAGCACGATACTGTCACGATTCTGTTTCTTATCACCACCAAACGATTTAAGCACTAATATAGGTTTTTTGTATCAAGATTTTCATAGGATGGGTGGTATCTGGCGTTAAGCTTTGCATTTTGTTCAAAAAGTACCAAGCATCTCTGTATTGATCCTGGTTTTCTGGGTAGTATAACACCATTTTATCATTTACTCATGACTTTCACATATGAGATTTTGATATATGTGATCAGTCATCATAGTGAGATATGTTGCGGATAGATTAGGTGGTCTGTGTCACGGATTATCATCATTTGTGATATTACTAATAACTAGAAAGTACTGGACAGCGTTAGGTCGGAAATTCTAAACAGTACGTACCCACCAATCTACTAGCGATCGAACCAAAGTATTCAGACTTCAGAATGAGCACGTTATCTTTATATTACTGAATTGCAATTAAATGATTCATGTCTTTAACCTCTGTCCACACTGTTAACAACTGCCTCATTTCCGGTGATGGGACTGGGCGATCGTCACGTTATATATAGAACTAATTAGAGATGAAAATGGGAATCATTTGATTCCAGACGTACTATTTAAATATTTTATAATTTCCACTAGATCTGGATTGTTTGTTTAATTTTTTTGTTAGATCATACATGAGCACAAATTCCCAACCAAGACATTTATGCGTGAGACCGAAGGTTAACAGTTTGGTTCTCCAGAGCGGGGTTGGGGTTCATGATTTCTGTGAAAGTCACCAATCTCAACAATCCTTTACAGACAAATGTTCGAATGTTTAAACATTCACCGATATTATGCCACTAGTCTACATACAGTCGATGGTATTTACAAAATATTTGCGTCAATACGTGTATAATTCCGAAAGTGACGTTCATTGTTAACCACTCAAGGAAAAGTATCATTGATTTTATTTAATCTGTTATTATTTCAGTATTTTTCGACTTTAAAGGATCCTTTATATTGAGATGGTGGAGAAGATTTGTAGCTCAGGTGGATGATTTTGGTGGTGTTTTGTTCTCTGAGCTGGATGGTTTGGTCGTGGAGCTTTCATCGTTCTTCTGAACGACATCATCAGCACAAAGTGCTGATGAAAATATCTATTGTGTATTTGACTATGAATCGGTATTTCACATTGAAAGTTACAAATAAGTTAACCTGATTAAGCATAGTTACCTCGTAAATAAAAATTAGAATCATTCTATGTATAATAATCAATGTTATTTACCAATGGAAATGTTCAGTAATCTTTTTATATATAAATACGTGTTTACAAAAGATAGAAACTTCGACAATATAAACTTACAGCTAAAATCATCCGAATTATACGACTCATTCTAAGTTTTCTGTGACTTATTATTATATGTAACTAACATTATTTATTTATCTATCTATCTATCTATATGATTGGTCATCAATCTGATTTTATTGATAGGACCGTAATTCTATATAACTTACCTAAGTAACATGATTGATTATTTTAAATAATTAGGTCAAATAAATAATTTGGTGAATATAATAAGATGATTAGAATGTTTTTGTTATAATAATGAAAGGTCAGAGAGGTGTAAAAATCAATATGGTGATATGATAAATAATTTGCTAATAACTGAAAAATATGTATCATTTTAAGCAACAATATTATCCAATCAAAATAAATTCTACAACAATAACTGCTACTACTATTATTATTATTACTACTGTGGTGCGTGCTACTTATATTGATATAAGTAGTATATGACTCAAGTCAGGATTGCAATGTCTGGCAGCAGAAGATGAGGGAAGATCAAGAAAGCAAGAGCAGGAATAGAATGCAATTTGTATGAAAATGCAAGGACAAT